GAGAGAGAGAGAGAGAGAGAGAGAGAGAGAGAGAGAGAGAGAGAGAGAGAGAGAGAGAGAGAGAGAGAGAGAGAAGAGACCATGTATTGCATACGGTGATTGATTGCAATCTGAGTAAGAGTGGTTTTGCACGCAAAAAAACAGTGCAAGTCGAACTCCAGTGAGAAAGACCAAGCCCAAGCCTGCATGTCATATTTGCTGATTCCAGCAGAGTGAGGGAGAGGGAGGGGGGGGAGGTACTGACCTGTACTAGGGTCTTGAACGTCCTCAGTGAGGTATCCTCTGCAGCGGCTTTATGAATTTGGCCTCCTCCTCCATGGCAAGTCCTCTAACTCCTCCTCCTGCTGCAGCAGCAATGAGAAGATCAACCAGGCTGTCTAAAGATCGGCATGCTCTTCTTTGGTACCTCTCTCTCTCTCTCTCGCTCTCTCTCAACCCCCCCCACACACAAAGAAGTCCTCGATATGACAGGGAGACAGGCGACACAACGAGGCGCGGAAACAATAAGTCGAGCAAGAAAGGCGAGCAAGGTGATCGTGGTGGGTGACACAACGACGCAAGCAAGGCAATCATCACAACATGATGAGGCAACAACACCGAGGAACAAAAAGGCAGGCAGATGTGATTTTGCAAATCCACCCGCCTTTCCTCTTGACTTCAAACTTGGAAGTTCCCCCACCACAGTCTAGCCCAGTTTGGAACACCCTACCGGGCCTCAAAAACTGCCACAGCTATTTTAAGGGAGGTTTGCAGGGGCCAACACAACCATCCCCTCTTTTTCCCCTTTTCTGGCATCCATCCGGATTTGCTGGACCAGACATAGTAGAAACCCGGTTGAGGTCGCTCTCGATCTGGACGTTGGGAGTCTTGGGACCACAACAGCAATATATATTTTGATTCTTGAATTGTATTTTGAAATTTGAACTGTATACTAGTCTACTGTGCTCTACTGTATTTTAAATTGCATTTAGAAGTGCATGCGAGGCACAAGGCCTTGGTAAGCCCTACTGGGCCCTCATTTGCAACAGCGTCGGCCGCCCTAAGTGAAGGCAGGCTCGACACACGACAAGAGGCCTATTTTGGACTACCCCACGACTGGGGGAAAATATTCAGGCAGTTGCGCAGCGCCAGTTGGTTGAAAGCGCCCTGCAATAAGACTCACTTTCTCTTCCTCTTCGCATGCATGTAAACAGGTAGCACACCAAACTGGCGACAAGCGCCCACTCAAAGCTCAGAGATATGGTAACCAAGAACACCGTTCAGATACAAGCTCGCTTCCGATGGCTATGGCGCATCAGCGCCTGTACAACTCTCTGTTCGTCACTGTGCTCAACTCCGCTGTTCACACACACTCAACTAAGGATCACCCTGGATATCCCACATGCGACACACTGTCCCACACACACGCACACCCTACACTCGTCTAACGCCTACGGCGGCTATGGCCGCTCAGCCCTGCTGGCTATGGCTACACAACCTCTACTCTGCCCACTTCGTCTTCGGGCGCTCTCCAGACCACCTTGCACAAGTCACTCAAGCAGCGCTTCCCGCATGGCTCACGCAGGAATGAATGAATGGCTGGGCGCTGCCTCTTGATTTATACTTCTGTAACTCGTTGGTCTGCTTCTGTCCACCGGGCCCAAGGTGCACACAGTCCCTTATGGTACTTGCTGACTGGACTCAGTGAGACTGGGACTGGGTACCGCTAACTCAGCACGGGTGGACTCCACCACTTGCCCACTTGCCTCTGTTCTACTGTGAGCAACGTTTGAAGGGCCACTTCCAGACCTTCCGAAAGCCTGTGGACTTGGCCCTTCAACACTGTAGCAGCTACGACCTTGACCCTTCAGGACTGTAGCAGATACGACCTTGACCTTTCAGAGGTCCTACAGCTACGACTTCTAGAACTCACTAAGACTCCTATCCGACAGGTCTACAGATCGAACCCCTACAACCTACGAATCTACGACAGCCTACCAATTGCTGCAAACACACAGGTCAGGTCACGGGTCCAACTCTCGGGGTCAACACAGGTGCTGTACACAGGTAAGGTGAGAGCTAGGGATCGAGCCCTGGGATCTCCATCCGCTACTGCTAACAGGTGAATACCGTTTCAGCCCAGGCCCTGGTCTTCTATATCAAATGCATCTGAGGCAGGCCCTGGGCGAGATACGCAGCATGGACCCAACTCAGACTGTAGGCAGTTGGGCAAGGGTAACTGTCAAAGGCCTTGGGCCTGATCCGTTTGGTCTGGGGCTCAGCCTCTCTGGGCCTACCGGAAGCTTCTGGGCAGGGGCCCAGAGCAGCCAGGCTGCACGCAAGGCAGGCAGGCCACTTCCATTTAGGAGAGGGCCTGCACACACATTGGGCATTCGGGCACTGGCTGCATGCTGCGCAAGCGCTGCTGCGCTAACGCTGGCCAGCGCTCACGCGCTCACGGTCGAGCAGGAAGGAGCAGGCAGCCATAGCCGAGCTGCGCTGCTGTATGCTGGATGGGGCGCATGGTGGTCCTTGGGTGCATGTGGCATCTGTATGTTGGGGATCGAGGTTGTGAGCGATACGAGAGACAAACCTGGTGCTTGAGGCGACGGCATTGACCAAGGTCTGCTCGTACTTCGGGGAGCTGTTGATGTCATCAGCGGCATTGTAGATAGGCTAGATAGGATCTGCCATCTGTAGTCTGGGCGCCGAGCGCCAGATAGGATATCGACATTGGTTCTTCCTTGATGATGATGAGACTATTCCAGCATTGTCAATTATGAGCTTTTGCTGTATTCTTATTTAGTGGAACTCGTGATGCAATTCTGTTATTGGTTCGAGGTCACAACTATCTGGTCTCATGTGTATGATGCTGTTTGATTTCTGAGGTTCGCTATCGCTCATTTTCCTTGCAATTTGGTATCAGAGCTGTGGTACGGTGCGCTCATCTGGCGCTTGTCTTCTGCCTTTGCGGTACATGCACGCGGACTGCTGGGCGAGCGGCCGTGGGGAGGTGTGTAGTGAGGAGGGTGGAGACAAGTGTGGCGACCCAGGAGGTGAGGGGTATCGCCAGGAAGGCTACTAAGTGGTGAATATTGGGTGTTTGCAGTGTGATGAGAACTATTCGATGTGTGATTGATGCTGAGGTGGAACGGCGGTGCAATGCTGGTTGTGTCGAAGCAGCGATTGGTCATCACAATCAACATCGGGTCATCTGGTGAGAATATCTGTGGTTGGGGGCAGCTATTTTGAGGTACATTGCGCATAACCTTATCTACCCTCTTCGACACTTCTTACTGTGAGGATGTGTGTTCTGTCTTGAGAGTCCTCTCATGTGAGGAGTCATGTGCGCTCAACCTTGAGAGTCGTTAGCCTTCACGTGGAGCATCTGGAAGGAGAGGGCGGTGCTATCTGAAGGGCCCTGGACGAAGCACTGGGTCACAGTCACCATGCCAATCCACCAGGAGTAAAGCACGCATGCTTTGCTGCTTTGTCCTTTGTCTGCTCGCTGCGCTATAGAGGGGTTCTGAGGGGCAGGCCAGCCCTACGGGAAAGACGAGACCGGACGTCTATAAATAAGTACCGGCGGGGACCTTCCATTGGTTGTGATCGTCGTCCTGTTTGCGGCGTTAAATAATTCCTGAGGACTTCGGGGGCCGTCCATAAAAAACGCCTCCTGATCAGCCAATCGGTCGGTGTGAGGCTCATTGCACGCGAGGATAAAGATTGTGCAAGGCTGGCCAGCTCAACAGTACTCGGGGCACAGGGGTGGGCCATGTGCACACCTTTAGACACGCACGCTGTTCTGGATGGCTTAGGGACGTTGACGATAAGAGGCATTCAGAAAGAACTGAGGGAGGGGTAGATTCCAGGTGATAAGTTTGGGCAAGATTCCATTCTGCAAACAGACCCAACAAACGATTCTATTTTCATTTTGATTAGTTAGATGTACAGCCATTAACATCTGACAAACAACATAGTTTAGAACTGTTCTTTGTTCATTGTGCTTTCTGTTTGCGAACTAGTCAAAGTCAAAGTAGTTTTGTTTGTAGGAATCTGAACCTACCTGTTGGACCCAAATGTTTAGTCTCTGACACAGCCATCGATTATTTATTTTATGTTATTTTTAATCGGTCTGTACACCATGCTGCGGTAGGCATCAAGAGTGTTCTAGTGTAGACACCGTACAGTGTTGTAGCCTATGAGTGACAGGGAGGCTCCACAACCGGACGATAGGATCTTGCGATCGGCAAGACGCCCGATAGCCCACTTCGCATTAGGACCAGAGGGCGACAGACTCCTATTCCGCCAGTAGAGGGAGAGACAGCAGCAGCAGCGGAGAGCTAGGGCACCAGAGGCCAGCATGGCATTCGCAAGTGAAGCCGCTGCTTCAGCAGCCATGGCAATTGTTGCGCAGCAGAGTTCCCAGGCTAGCAGTTCAAGATTTGTAGGGTCAATGGTCGTGCACACCCAGAGTCAGTCCACTCGCGTGATGGCAAGCCAGCCTATAGTGTTGACCCCCGAGGAGGTCGTCATACAGCGAGCAGCTATTCGCGAGGCACAGCTACAGCAGGCATTAGGGGAGATTAAGGCAGAGAAAGAGAAGATGATTAGAAGAAGAGCCAGGATGCAACGGAGAGAAGCGGACATTAGTGAGTTAGAGGGAATGGACCTGGCGCATATGGGTGATGATGTGAGGACCCTACGGACCGTCATGCTAGATGTAGTAGAAATGCAGGACCACCGGACAGCTCTCTTAGAGGACATCCAGCAGAGTCTGGCCGTTTTGGTCGGGCGTGCACAGGCAGCTCCATCACCGTCCGGGCCTGGTGCCTGGCCCGTTGTACAGCCTCCTCCTTTTGTCCCACCGGTGACTGGGGTATCCCCATATGTTGCTCCAGCATCGGTCCAGGCCGGTTCTTTAGGTATGTCATTAACAGCAGGGTTCTCTGCAGGTCCTAGTGTGCAGGTTCCTGTACAGACAATGTTTTCCCAACCTCCGTCGCAGGTTGCCGTAAGCGGGCAACCTGTTGTCTCGCAGCCTGCACAGTCGCAAGGTACACAGCCCCGGCAGCAGATAGTGTAGCAGCCTCGTCCCCAAGGTCCACAGCCTGGAGTGGGACAGGTGCTGGGACAAAGTCAGTGGGTTCCAAAGATGGCCATCGCTGCTCCTAAACGCTTACAGGGGACAAGAGGGGCGAAGACCTCGACACATGGTTGAGGTCAGTGCCAGTCTACGTTAAGTGTAAACTTACCTTGCCGCACGAGGAAGTGCTTGTGGCCGCCTCCTATTTAGAGGGGACTGCAGTGAGATGGTTGAGTGGTTTAGTGCAGTTGCACGGATACGGTCATGACTTCCGCGCTTGGGCAGTCAACCAGAAACTGGATGACTTCCTCAAGCTGGTGGAAGAAAGGTGGCATGATCCTCAGGAGGCCCAAAAGGCCACTGATGCGATCCTGACTTTGCACAACAGGTAGTTTAAGTCAGTAAGGGAGGCCACGGATGCAGTAGAGTGTTTGATCTGTGTCCCTGGGGTGCGCTATGACCCCCATGTTCTACTGACCTCCTACCTGAGATGCTTTCTTATGCCTCTCAGGAATCAACTGGCAGGTAAGGCCAACATCAATATGTTCAACTTCCCCTCGTTTAGCAAGAAGGCCCTAGACCTTGAAGCAAAGATAGGGCATGGTCAGACACCCACGGCGGATGGTAGGAAGAAGTCACTGCCTCCCAACTGGAAGGCGAAGGGCCGCATTATGTTCGTCAACAACGATGGTTCTACCATCGAGTTGGATGACGACTTCCAGGCGGGAGTACGTTCAGAGGCGGGCAGCGTAGAAGCTTCAGCGGGTGGAGTAGTCGTTGTCGTAACTCAAAAAGGTAAGGCGACCGGTAGACGCCGTGGAGGTTCCCGGTCTAGGAGTCAAGCCGACCCTAACGCTCCTCCATGGGAGAAAGCGGGTCTCAGTGAGGACGTGTGGAGAGATCGGTACACGAGGCAGGCTTGTATTCGTTGTGGCCAATACGGCCATAACCAGTTCAAGTGCCGAAATAAGAAGGTGACCGAGAAGATCCCGCCTACGATGGGGCAAGCGTTGGGATCCTCCGCTCCCGTTGGTAGCAATGTGGCCAGTAGTTCTGGCACTGCTCCGGGAAACGCGTCGGGCGTCGTCCCGCAAACACATTCGGACCCATCGAGTCTTTGTTCGAAGAATGTGTTTGAATCCTCAGAGGAGCTAGAGGAGGAGTGGTCTCCATCAGACCCACTAGCTTCTTGGATGGCATTGGTCAAAGCCCCTAGGAGTGAGATGTTCGTTGGCGAGGTAGTCATCAGCGGCCGTAAGGCCGGGGCCTATTATGACACTTGCTCGACTAGGAACTTCATTAGTCGCGCGTGCGTTGAGAGGTTGCGCTTACAGGGGCAAGTGCAGCGCCTGAGTCGACCTGTGGAGTTGACCTATGCCAACAAACAGGGCATGGTAGTCCACGACTACCTTCAGAATGTCGAGTGTTGTTTCCCGTACGCGGGAGGGGAACTGAGACATCGCGTTTCGTTCCTAGTGAGCGATGATCTCGTTATGGACATCTTGTTAGGTATGTACTACCTCTCCGTGGCGCCCCAGTTTGACTGGGACCGAAAAGTGGTCAAACACACTTTGCCAAGTGGGGGGACCGCCAGATTACATAAGTTCAAAGCTAGTAGTCTGATTGAGTCTCATGGATGCATGTGTGCGGCCGTGTTCTATAACTATTATAAGCAAAATATGGTGGAGGGTATGTATCTAGTTTATGTCTCTGCAGCAGGCGAGCCGGTGAAAATGTCGTAAGAGATAGAGAGAGTAGTTGCTAAATACCCTGATCTATTTGAAGAGCCAAAATGGGTTGTAGAGAGGGAGGTCGTCCATGCAATAGAGATTATCCCAGGGTCTAGCATCCCGAAGGGTAAGATCTATTGGATGTCTCCAGGCGAGTTTGATGAGCTTCGCCGACAACTCAAGGAACTCGTAGAGAAGGGGTGGATCCGGCCGAGTGTTTCCCCTTATGGATCTCCAGTCCTATTCGTACCAAAGAAGGGGCGGACTCTGAGGATGTGCATTGACTATAGGGGCCTCAATGCCATCACTATTAAGAACCGAGAGTCCCTACCGCGCATCGATGACTTGCTAGATAGAGTGCAAGGGTGTCGGTACTTTAGTAAAATAGATCTGAAGTCCGGGTACCATCAGATTGCGATTCGGCCCGGGGATCAACACAAAACCGCTTTGCAGACCAGGTACAGTCTGTACGAGTTTGTGGTGATGCCTTCCGGCCTTTGCAATGCTCTTGGCACGTTTCAGCACACTATGAATCGGATCTTTCCTGACTACTTGGATAAGTTTGTCATCGTGTACCTCGATGACATACTTATTTTTGGTAGGACCGTCGAGGAGCATGTTGCGCACTTAGACAAAGTCTTCAGTCTCCTTCGGCAGCACAAGTTCAAGATCAACGGGGAGAAATGCGAGTTTGGTCGCACCCGGATCTTGTACTTGGGTCATGAGATTTCCACGGAGGGGTTGAAGCCCGATGATGCGAAGGTGGCCAGCATTTGCGACTGCCCGCGTCCTCAGTCTGTGATTGAGATGAGGTCCTTCTTAGGGATGACCGACTACTATCGCAATTTTGTGAAGAACTATAGCATAGTTGCCGCCCCTTTGACGGACCTGACTCGCCTTGACACCCCATGGGAGTGGACAGACAGGTGTGAGGCTGCTTTCAGACATCTGAAGCATGCGTTGACACACCATGAGGTCTTGAAACTTCCTGATCCTGACAAGCCGTTTATAGTTACCACGGATACTAGCCAATATGGCATAGGCGCCGTGCTCGCACAACAGGAGGGGCCAAAGTTGAGGCCAGTGGAGTACATGTCCAAAAAGATGCCCTCTCAGAAGTTGGCCAAGTCTACCTATGAGAAGGAGTTGTACACGATTTATAAAGCACTAACCCACTGGAGGCACTATCTCCTTGGGCGGTTCTTCATTGTCAGGACTGATCATCAGACCTTGAAGTGGATGAGAACTCAGCTTGTGCTCTCTGATGCGCTGAAACGCTGGATGGAAGTCATTGAGCAGTATGACATCGAGCTCCAGTACCTCAAAGGTGAGTACAACAAAGTTGCTGACGTGCTTTCGCGTAGGCCAGACTTCTCCGGTGCGCTGATCACTGAGTTTGGGCTTGCGGACGATGTCACTCGCTCGTTGGTGGAAGCCTATCGCGAGGATCAGTTCATGTCTGAGATCATACGCAGACTCGGGGCGAAGGACAAGGTGACTTCTGACGAGTTTGAGTTGGTCAACGACCTGCTGTTCCTTGAGAAGGCCAGGAATAAACGTTTGTGTGTGTCGAATAGAGAGTCTTTACGCAGTTTATTTTTAGGTGAGTGTCATGATGCCACCGAACATTTTGGCTATAAAAAGACTGCAGCCAATCTGCTGCAGCGGTTCTGGTGGCCCACGATGATGAAAGACGCTAAGTTGTACGTGGAGACTAGTCAGGTCTGTTAGAGGGACAAGCCACGAACACAGGATCCTCTTGGGCTTCTTAAGCCCCTTCTGATTCCAAAAAGGCCTGGTGAGAGTCTGTCCATGGACTTCATGGATACGCTGGTCACCAGCAAGAGTGGAATGCGATACGTCTATGTCATTGCGGATAGGTTTAGTAAGTACGCTAGGTTAGTCTCAATGCCCGCAACAACTAAAACCGAGTATGTGATCAAGCTGTTCAAAGAGAACTGGGTCAGAGATTTCGGACTGCCTAAGTCTATAGTCAGTGACCGGGATGTGCGATTCACCAGTGAACTGTGGAAAGCTGCAGCTGCAGAATAGGGCACGCAGTTGCAAATGACATCAGGCAATCACCCAGAGGCGAATGGACAGGCAGAGCAGTTGAATCGCGTTGTACGACACCTGCTGAGGCATTACATCAAGGCAAATCAGGTAGACTGGGATGAGAAACTTGCTCTCATCGCCAGCCTGTACAACAACACGGTGCACAGCGCAACGGGAGTGAGCCCGAACAACTTGCTACTGACTTTCAAGCCTAGACTGCCTTTGGACTTCCTACTACTGAGAACCAGCCATCTGCTGCACCAGGGACCTTAGAGTTTGCTTATCGGTATGAGCGCCTAATGCAGCAGGCTGTTGAGCAGATGCATAAAGCACAGGCGGCGATGATAGAGTCAGAGCACAAACACCGTCGCCCATCTACATTCCAGGTAGGAGAAAGAGTCTGGGTTAAGTCCTCAGAACTGGTTCAGGAGCACGGGATCTCCCACAAGCTCATGCCACAGTACTTTGGACCATGGGAGGTTCTAGATGTCGTTGGGGATGAACCGGATGGTCCTTCTTTTGTTATTCGCATCCCTGGTCACTTACGCACTTACCCTGTTTTCCACGCCTCCAAGCTTGCACCTTTTGAAGAAACAGATTAGTTTCCCTCTCGTCCCTCAATGCTGCCCCCAACCATGGATAGAGAGATCGACATCGACGACATCAGGGAAACGCCAGTTCCAAGACCGGCGGGCAGGGGACGTCCTCCAAAACCGAAACTGCAGTATCGGGTTCGGTTCCGACATCACACTGATCCAAAGGAGGACCGATGGTTTACCAGGGAGGAACTGATGCAGACCTCTCCTCAGGCTGTTGCACAATATGAAAAGTCTCTGCAGAAGGGGAAAGCGCCAGATCATTGAAGACTGAACTTCTCAGATGACTAGCGAAGTATGGAGGAGGGAATGCGAGGCACAAGGCCTCGGTAAGCCCTACTGGGCCCCTCATTCGCAACAGCGTCGGTCACCCTAAGTGAAGGCAGGCTCGACACATGACAAGAGGCCTATTTTGGACTACCCCACGACCGGGGGAAAATATTCAGGCAGTTGCGCAGCGCCAGTTCGTTGAAAGCGCCCAGGCCCTGGTCTTCTATATCAAATGCATCTGAGTCAGGCCCTGGGCGAGATACGCAGCACGGACCCAACTCAGACTGTAGGCAGTTGGGCAAGGGTAAATGTCACAGGCCTTGGGCCTGATCCGTTTGGTCTGGGGCTCAGCCTCTCTGGGCCTACCGGAAGCTTCTGGGCAGGGGCCCAGCACAGCCAGGCTGCACGCAAGGCAGGCAGGCCACTTCCATTTAGGAAAGGGTCTGCATACGCATTGGGCATTCAGGCACTGGCTGCATGCTGCGCAAGCGCTGCTGCACTAACGCTGGCCAGCGCTCACGCGCTCACGGGCGAGCAGGAAGGAGCAGGCAGCCATAGCCGAGCGGCGTTGCTGTATGCTGGATGGGGCGCATGGTGGTCCTTGGGTGCATGTGGCATCTGTGTGTTGGGGATCGAGGTTGTGAGTGATACGAGAGACAAACCTGGTGCTTGAGGCGACGACATTGACCAAGATCTGCTCGTACTTCGGGGAGCTGTTGATGTCATCAGCGGCATTGTATATAGGCTAGATAGGATCTGCCATCTGTAGTCTGGGCGCCGTGCGCCAGATAGGATATCGACATTGGTTCTTCCTTGATGATGATGAGACTATTCCAGCACTGTCAATTATGAGCTTTTGCTGTGTTCTTATTTGGTGGAACTCGTGATGCAATTCTGCTATTGGTTCGAGGTCACGACTATCTGGTCTCATGTGTATGATGTTGTTTGATTTATGAGGTTCGCTATCGCTCATTTTCCTTGCATGCATATTAAAGTGCGTTTTAAAATTTAAATTGCATTTTGAAGTGAATTTCAAATTCCGTTTGGACATTTGAATTGTATTTTGAAGTGTGTAATACAGTTCAAATTTCAAAATACAATTCACGAATCAAACTGCACTTCCGCTTCACAATTCATCATTTGGAGAATAGACTGTGGAGGGCCATGCTAGTCTATTCTCCAAATGATGAACTGTGAAGCGTAAGTGCAGTTCGATTCGTGAATTGTATCTGTCTCTTATACACATCTAGATGTGTATAAGAGACAGGTGTAATACAGTTCAAATTTCAAAATACAATTCACGAATCAAACTGCACTTCCGCTTCACAATTCATCATTTGGAGAATAGACTGTGGAGGGCCATGCTAGTCTATTCTCCAAATGATGAACTGTGAAGCGTAAGTGCAGTTCGATTCGTGAATTGTATTTTCAAATGTGAACTGTATTTTAAATTTTATATTTTTCATTCTTTCTTTCTATTTCTTTTTTTCTTTTTTTTTGTTTTGTGCAATCAGACTCGGTCTCATTCACACTTCTCATGCATGTAAACAGGTTGCGCAGTAAACTGGCGCCCACTCAGAACCCAGAGATATGGAAACCAAACACAGTTCAGACACAAGTTCACTTCAAATGGCTATGGCGGCACAGCGCCTGTACAACTCTCTGCTTACACACACACAGGATCACCCTGGATATCCCACACGCGATACTCTGTACACACATACACACACACCCACACTACACTCTCCTAACAGATATGGCAGCTATGGCCGCTGCTATCCTATCGCTATGGCTAAGCTCCTTCTCGCCCACTTCGTCTTCGGGCTCACTGCAGACCACCTCACACAAGTCGCTGTGGCAGCGCTTCCGCATGGCTCACGCAGGAATGAATGAATGGCTGGGCGCTGCCTCTTGATTTATACTTCTGTATCCCGTTGGTCTGCCCTTTTCCCATGCCCGTGGTGCACACAGTCCCACGCCATACTTGCTTGACTGGACTATGACTGACTGGGACTGGGACTACTGACTCAGCACGGGTAGACTCCACCACTTGCCCACTTGCCTCAGCCTAAACGTGAGCAACTTTGAAAGGCCACTACTAGGACCTTCGGGAAGGCCATGGACTTGGCCTTTCGATACTGTGGCAGCTTAGGGACCCCGCGACAGTCTACCAACTGTTACAAATACACAGGTCACGGGTTCAACTCTCGGGGTCGACACAGATACTGTACACAGGTAAGGTGAGTACTAGGGATCGAGCCCTGGGATCTGCATCGGCTACTGCGGACAGGTGAATACCGTTTCATTTGGGACCATTTAGCGATCGATTAATGTGTGTCATCCTTGCTCAGGGGCCATGCTAGTCTTCTCTGTATCGTTCCAGTTTTAACGGATGTCCCTAAGGACAAATTTGATCTTTTTTACTCTAAGCGTGACACCCTTGTGCAGAGCCCATGCTCGTCAATCTTTTCTGTATTGTTCCATTTTAACGGATGTCGCGGAGGACAAAGTTTATATTTTTTACTTTATACATTCAGTATCATCGGTAAGGAGACTTTGCAGACTGTAGAGGGTTCAACCTCCTGATGAGTCAGTAGGTCAAACTCCGACGAAACAGTCTGTCAAAACCTGAGTTCGTCCACCCTCAGCCTTCTGTTCTCCTGCCGGTTCCAGATGTCCTTGATCCTCAACACACATGCCACATCCGACTTCAATCCCCTCTTCCCTTTTTTTTCCCTTTTTTTCCTTTTTTTTTTCCTCTTTTCGGAAATTTCCCCCCTTTTTTCTCTTTTTTCCTTTTTTTTCCATTTTTTTTTTCTTTTTAAAGTTTTTTCCCTTTTTTCCTAGGCTACCAGAGTGGCCCGGGGTCACTTGCCCGGCCGGGCCAAAAATAAGTAAAAAAATAGAAATAAAGCAATTATTTTTTAATTTTAAATTTTATTCTAAACTTGGTGAATAATTTCGATGTGACCCTGAGGCAAAAGTTGTTCAGTTTATTTTTCTGCATAACATAGTTTTTTCTCGGATTTTTTGGATTTTTTTTTTTTTTTTTTTTTTTTTTTTTGCTGGGACCTTCCCTGGTCCTTGCACGGGCTGGCCACCCGGGACCCGGGCGGCCCGGCTGGTACCCTAGCTTTTTTCCCTTTTTTTCCCTTTTTTTCCCTTTTTTCCTTTTTTTTAAAGCGTGCGCACACACACAAACAATCAGTTTCATGTATGTCTGGCTATTTTTGTGTGTCATTCTGCCGTTTTTTTCTGTCTTCCTGGTATTTTTCCTAAGTACTTTGGATGTGTCCTGCTGAGCACCTCTCAGAAGTGCCAAATAGTCAGTCATTTGTCGTTTGGGGCGCATGCAGCACTCTTAGGGGGCGCGCTTGGTTCACGATGTCTGTGTTTCCTGTGGGTGATGACGGATGTTTGTCTGAGTGACTCCCTGGCTCACCGGGTGGTGCGAACCAAGAGTTTGCTGGGTTTGCTCGTGATGTGAGTTGATCATGCGCAGCTTTGCTCCGTGTTGGATGTGAAGACTTCCCCGCCTGCGCTCCACTGGTGCCTTGCTGCCCGTCCCACTTGCTTCGCAGGTCGTTCTTTGTAAGCTTATTTGCTCACGCTGTGCTGTGGCTGTGCTGTTGGTGTCGCCTTTCGCTTTGCTGCTCCGCTGTCTTGCCGCCCTTCCACATGCCGTGCCTTCCGTGTCCTTTGCTTGTGTGCCGTGTAGTTTGGCTGTCTTGTTGGTGTTGCCTTGTGCTTCACTACGTGGTTGCCGTGCTGCTCATTCGCTTGCGCTGTCATTCCTTGCAGTTGTTTTTGGCGTTGTGCAGTCATGTTGTCTTGGCAGTGTTACCTGGTGCTTCGCTGAGTTGCTGCCCGCTGCTATGTTCCGCTTGCGGACAGTCTTCCTTCAACATGGGTCAAAGGGTTCATGACCCAAACCATCAATACAGGGATTCCACAGATTGTCGAGGGTTCAGCCTTCTATATATTTACCATATGATGCAGATCGCTTTATGTCCTGGTATGATTTTGATCGCACATCTAACTGCAGCGTGCCGCAATTCACATCGTGATGGTCCTATGCCCCAAAGTACACACACACACACACACACACACACACACACACACACGGTAAAGGGGGAACTGCAAGTACAAATGAAAGGGGTACCCCGAAGAAAGCAGATGTGAACATGAACACATTCAAGAAAGGGGTTTACATGCCTCTATTACACTCCATGTTGCTTGCTATACAGGTGAAACTGTTTTCATTGTTGGATTGTCTCAACTCAGGGGCCTTTGTTGTCTGCAATAGGATTGAATATGCTTTGATTTTGGATCTGCTCATCTGGGTGGAATAGGGGCTGTTGTGGTGAAAATTCAAAACACACACACACACACACACACACACACACACACACACACACACACATTGTGGATCTTCAGGTTGAGGATGAAATTACTGACTCCTGTATACATGTGATGGCTGACTGATACACAGAGACAACTGTTAATTGTCAGGTTAAGGGTTCGAAATCCACAATACTGTACCTGCCTGATGCCTGAACGACAGACACACACACAACTCTTGATCTTCAGAGCAAGACTTCCAATCCTCGTTTCCTATCTCTGCCTCATGGCTATATAGAACATGCACACATACGGTGCCTCTCTCTCTCTCTCTCTCTCTCTCTCTCTCTCTCTCTCTCTCTCTCTCTCTC